TGTGGAAAAGTTAAAACTCTGCCATGGCCTTTATGATTTACAGAACAAAAGTTAACTCAGTTTTCAGTTTCATAGATTCTACACTGCTTGCATAATACAGGTAAAATAAATAAATAAAATCTTCTCTGAAAAATTATTCGATCATATAAAAACAATGCATTGTCTTTTCAGAAAGAATATAACAACATACAGTCTCTCTTCTTTTCCTTTTTCTTTTTTGTATAATTATATATTTATGTGCTTCCTTATTCATTTACATAATTATTTAACTACTTCTTCTTCAATGAATTTTAAAGCTAAACAATAACTGTTGATTCTGTTGTAGGCATAAACAGATGTAAGGATAGAAGTTTGTGAATTTGGAAATCCGGTATTTTCTTGGCGATAAAATATATTGTATTCCCTCCCCATATCACGATATCCACGATAAAGCACAACACTTTATTTGCATAGTGTTGTAAATTTATTAGACATTTTTGATGTGACTGTGAGATTTATTGACTGGTCCAGCCTTTCTGTAACACACCATTATTTGATGATGATGATGATGATGATGATGATGATGATGATGATGATGATGATGATTGTTGTTGTTGTTGTTGTTGTTGTTGTTGTTGTTGTTGTTAAGAGGTTAGTGTTAATACTGGTCGACCTGGTATCAGAATAATGTCTCTGGATGGGACGCGATGCTACATGTTTGCGGCATAATGCCCCAGTGCTAGACATTGCTATAAAATTCCGCACTGCCTACATCGTATCGATATGACTGAAAAATTGTTAAAAACTACGTTAAAAACCTAAATCATACATACATTTGCGTCATGTAGAATGCAAATGAAATTGAATTGAAACACACATCGATTAAAAAACTACAACATATTCACATTATCGTAATAATGAATTGTTTAGTCTAATTCCAGCAAATGGTACCGCATTTCGTATCTGATCACTGAAACTACTGCAAGCTACGATTTGTAGAATAGTTTTATTTCGATCTCTTGGATTCAGTAATTTGCAACGAATGAAGGCAGAGGAGCCGATGTAAATCGGTGGTTAGTGTCCGAAAAGGGTGAGGGTTTGAATTCTACCATCGGGACACCATGAACTTCCTCCAATTTTGTTTCCTCGGACAGCATCAGCTTTGCTTCAGTGGTCTCGACACTAAATCAACTACTCGTGTTGCGCCATTCTACTCGTTTAGTTGTGCTGCGAAACACCAAAAACCAAGCAAACAGAGTTGAATGAAACAATAGAAACAACGAGCAAAATCAGAGAAAACAGAATCCTGATTCGAATACCTTGCTGAAGCAGATCGCATTGATTTGCAAGGGCAATGAGACGTCAGGTGGTACCTAGCGCTATTGAATAATTATGTTGGAAAGCTTTTCGATATAATTTCAAAGGGCGTTGTGGCCAATGTCTGTATCACAACTTTTCAATATTTCAGGAAATGCCAAAGATCATAACATATTAGAAGTAGCATGAGCATTTATATATATATATATATATATATATATATATATATATATATATATATATATATATAGATATATATATATATATATATATATATATATATATATATATATATATATATATATATATGCAATAAACTGACGACGAACAGTACGAAACTAGTAACTAGCTAGCCTAAGCGCTTTCGACTCTTAATGAGTCTTTTTCAAAGGCAAATACAAAACATAGTTTTGACTATGTTTTACAAAACTATGTTTTGTATTTGCCTTTGAAAAAGACTCATTAAGAGTCGAAAGCGCTTAGGCTAGTTAGTTACTAGTTTCGTACTGTTCGTCGTCAGTTTATTGCATCTATTTTAATTAATCCCTGACAAACGTGATCCCTTGGTGGATCCAGTACGCTTGAGAGGGTTGTTATTCGCCATATGATTTGTATTCTTTATATATATATATATATATATATATATATATATATATATATATATATATATATATATATATATATATATATATATATATATAATATATACATATATATATATTATATATATATATATATATATATATATATATATATATATATATATATATATATATAAACACCAATAACATTCGTAATTTGTGCGTCCTTTTAGATCTTAAAGTAGACATGTATGTAATAGTCTAATAGCCTTAAAATTTAGAACATACAGGATGCACCACGAAATTGCAAGGGCTGGAAAATGTTACGTGGAAATAAATGAAGCTCTCTATACCCTTGCATCTCATCACAGCTTAATGTTTCGTTTATTTTTTGTAATCGAAAGTCTTTTAAAGAACATAACTAATTAAAACACTCTACCACCATGAAACTGCGAAGTGAGAATCGAATTTCACAAGTTACTTGTGGAGAAATGTAACTTGCTCATCGCCAATACTTATTTCCCGCAGACCAATCAGATCACAACTTATAACTGAATCATTTTTTAAAGAAGAGCAGAAATTAAATTTGTATTTTTATGTATATAATTCTCTACAAATTTTAATTCGACTGAAATATTTATAAATTACATATCGTAGGCGGGTAGTGATTATATTGAAGGATGATACTACGATTCCGTAAATTGCAGAGTTGTTCCGAACTTTTAAGACACGACAAATCACGTGGTAAAGTGACGCAATACTAACCAGTCCTGAAAGAAACAAGGCGAGCGAAACAGGGAAAATCAGATTTGGGTTACACATTAAAAAACTGAATCTGTTTCCGAAAGATGCTCATGACTTATATCAATGAACTGTATGTTAAGAATTTAAAGAAAAGCAATGTATTTGTAACTTAAATACTTATACATTGTGTGCTGTGCACAAACATGATAAGAATTAAGTGATGGTGCCCAATGTAAAAATTAACAATTTACCACAATGCAATAAATTCATTTAAGAAATATTAGATTCAAGCGTATACATATACATATACATATACATATACATATACATATACATATACATATACATATACATATACATATATACATGTGTGTGTGTAAGTTAAGCGAATTCTCAGCCGAAAAATACATACATACATACATACATACATACATACATACATACATACATACATACATACATACATACATACATACATACATACATACATACATACATACATACATACATACATACATACATACATACATACATACATACATCCATCCATCCATACATACATACATACATACATACATACATACATACATACATACATACATACATACATACATACATACATACATACATACATACATACATACATACATACATACATACATACATACATACATACATACATACATACATACAGTAATGTAAATCACAAAGAAGACATAAATTAGAAATGAATCCTACGGTTGTATTGCAATACATTTTTTTAGAAAAATTATATCATGCTGATTCGGCAGATTTAGGGCCAATTAAATTTTTACGCTCTAATTCCAATCTTCACTCCTGATTTTTTAGACCATTGTGTTCTGAAATGTGGAGGACTGCTTGAAACACAACGATTTTGATAGTTCACAACAATGATCTTCAATACACGTCGTTTGGTCATTGCCCGATAAACACAAAGATCTTCATGCCATGCAGTCATTGGTCGATATCACCTTCAAGGTATAAGCTTTGACACAAATTTACAGTTCATAAAGCAATCTAAATTTGTCAAGTAAGAAATGTCAACCATCTGTATTCTAATTTGTGGTATTATCAAAATTTATTGTTCTGGAAGGTTACATATTTCTCACCAGGCTACTAAAGTTTCTGCCTTACCAATACATACATTTATTGATGGCCTTTGTTCAAATTGACAGGTTTTTCGACTAATTGCTCCAAATGGTAATTAATCTCCTATTAATAACTGTCAATCCGTTTGTGGTATTCGTCTCGTTTCATTTATTGGCGTAGTCCCTCTCAGAATTTACATCATATGAGGGACCCCTTAGATCTAAAATTTAAAAGGTTTTCATGTTCTTGTTTCTCTTATGTGCATGTGTAGTTTGTATTACTTTTATATAAATTTTTATTTTATTAATTTTGAATTAAGATATGTGCGCCTTCGAAATTTATTGTTTTCTTCAGCTGTTGATTTTTTAAATAGTTTCATTTCTTAATATCTTTTATTAAAGAGAAGTAGAGTTTTAGTTTTTATCCTAATATATATTATAATAGCATAAGCTGCTTCGTACACGGGTTTAAAACATAGTTTCTCATGGTGCCCGTTTCATACAAATATATCTAACAACTATCAGACAGTTTATTACACAAATCCAATTCCGATTTCAATACACAACCAGTTTATATTGAGTAAACGGAAGGCTGCTTAAATTATAATATCTCTTTAAAGCTGTCTCTGCTTATTATGGAATACTAATTTATTAAACTGGCCACAATCGTACATCGTTTTGCTGGAAATAAACTCTGTAAAGCAAAAAACAAATTTTTGTTTAGAAACTCCTTGAATTAGTTACGTAGCTAAAGAGTGTTGTTGTTTTATGCAGTTTAACGCCATTTTTCTTAATATGATAGGCTACAAAGAGTGATCTGTATATTTGGTAACGGAGAAAGAAACGGGAAATCGCCTGAAAGAATCCACGACTCGTGGGAAACTTCTGGCATGATTACCTCGTTATTCCACCCGAAGAACCGAGACTCGAATTCAGGCAGAGATGGGATGTGTCAGTCATCTGTAAAGGCGAGAGCTTTGGACAACTCTGCCATCTGAGGTACCATCTTAAGTTGTCTTGCTTTGATTTTATAAGGTTTGGAGTCTACAAATATGTAAATATAAAGTTCATATTCCTCAGAAAAATAACGATTTAAAAAAAAACGAACTGCATGAATTAGTCAATAAAAATCAAGTACGTGAACATAAACTGTATAGAAAATAACATGAATCATTTTACACAAAGTAGAAACTGATATACATCATGTATTTATATAATATAAGTTTTTGATCTTGTGATACTATATTCATGAGTATGAAGTCATTTGACCGATCCGGTTGTCTAGTGGTTACAACATGCGCCTCGTATGCAGGAGGTCATGGGTTCGAACCACAGCTGAGTCATACCAAAGACTTATTAAAATGGTACTAGCAGCTGCATCGCTTGGCGCTCACCATGAAGAGGTTAGTGTTAGGTCTGGTCAGCATGGAGTCATGATAACGTGACTGGGTCCGGCATGATACCTCGGTGATAGACTCAAAAATTGTTATCACTGATGACGTCATTCGACAGTAATGTAAATCACAAAGAAGACATAAATTAGACATTGAATCTAATGTTCCTACATTTGATACATAACATGAACCATATCAATAAAATTTAAATCAAGTGCATGCTACAGCTGTTTCTCGTAAGTAATATCCCTTACTAATTGAATTTACTGTTTCTCACGATTTATGAATTGTTATTCATATTGAACGTATCTTCTGTAGAGTTGAATAGGTGTTTGGACTGCAACCTTCTGGAAAAGATGAAGTTGTTGCAAAATGCCATCACCAATTTATCTAAATGAGACATACAATGAAACGATATTGCAATCTGTTCGATTTTTTTTCGAATCGTAGTTCACATTATAATTATTTGATGTTTGTATGCTATTCTTAAGCTTATTGTTATCTTGTACCCATATATTTTCTATTTTAAAACATCGTTGAACACTTTAAAAGTCGCCTTTAAAGGGCCATCATGGTTGCCATTATATTTGCATTAATTTTATGGAAGGTACAGACATTACAGACATAAACATGAGGAGAAAGCAATGCCAACAGGATCATGTGCGGACAAAACAAATGGATATGTGGATGAATAGACGGAAGGCGGGGTAATGATTGAATAGAAAAATTGGCAGACGAACAAACTAGTATGCCTCCAAAGGTGAAGGTGGCAATAGTGATACAATAGAACGTGTCAGGAGAAAGTGGTGGATGTGTAATACACCTCCTCCTTGTGGGTGTGGTTATCGTTATTTAAGTGCTAATCCACCATGATGTTATTGCTCTGATCGAGTAAACAATAAATAAAATAAGTAATTAATGGACGGAATAACAGCTATTAGCAGAGATGTAGATTCAAACAACACGAGCCCCAACAATTTTAAATTTTAAACTACGACAATTTTTAATCAATTACATAACAAAATTAAATTGAACATGACATGTCAATGATTCATTCTCTCTCAGTAACAGAGTTACAAAATTTATGTGAAATATAATTAACTGTTCTCTTATACTGATAAAACAAATTTCATCATATGATCGAGTGGCTGATCGAACTCATATTGCCGGCATGACAACATCACCTGGTTCCTTCCGGTCTTTCCCACATCATGGTATATGATAATGAACACTCCCCAGCGGCCTTGTAAGTATTTCTTAAAAAGTTGATGTAGGTTTTGAAATCTTCTAGACTAACTCAATCACTTTATTTTTAAAAGTGTTCGTGATCTCTAAATTTCCAAACTTTGAAAAGAGATTGATTGGATCATACGATCCTTTCCGAAGTCCAGGAATTTATGTAATTCTTTCTTTTCTTGTTATGTTGTATACATCTCCACTGGCATCAGTGATAAGATGCTTCTTTTATTGGTCAGATTTGACCGATTTGTCGCTCGTAAAAACCCGGTATCTCGTCTTTCGTACTGTTTCTATCACAACTGGTTTCAATAGTTTCTCTCTCTGACTTTGGCTGATTTAAAAAGTTTTTCGTTTGTAGCACTGGGTTTATTTGCTTCACTTTCACAATGATTATTGGAATCGTCACCCTCATTCACAGTTTACACTGATTTTGGCGACATCACGACTTTGAACTTTCATTGCCATTCTGATCATATAATTTCTGTATTGGAATGTGAAGTCAGTGTTATACTAATGCAATAAATTTGTAGACGCGCATTTGGTTATAGGGCCCGGTTGAAGGAATTCGTAGATTAGTGTGATTACATGTATGATTATTGAAATTCTGTGGAGTGGAAATATTCCTTAGCACGAAATAATTAGCCAATTGCTAGCAGCGAACGTCATGGAGTGAAATGTTAGTTTCCATGATGGCATGCTTCACTTCATGTCAAAACTGCACTAAGTGTCCTGGAATGCTATGATCCTTATTAAAATCTATTGGTGTACATTGGTGTTGTGGCTGTAGTGGCAGTATTTACTATTGGTGTTGTGGCTGTAGTGGCAGTATTTACGTTAGGAAACCGGTAAATTACACAATGGAATAAACCAGTGGGGACTCGGCAGATACCGTTTATGTCGCCGTGGTAGCAAATGTGATGCAGTTGTACTGGAGTAATGTGCCTCGAAGACATGAACTGACTGGCGTAAGGTGGCGTAGTTAAAATAGTTCTCCCTATTTTAGGGCATAGTTGTAGAGTTTCTATATCGTGAACTGCTGACGGTACAGAAAGTTGATGAAGAGAAACTATGCAAATGCGCGGTTGATAGATAGATGGCACATTGGGAGATATGTGCTCTTACATTGATTATAGTAAAATTTATGTATTGCTTGGACACGTCGGTCTGTCTAATTTACAAGTGAAGTTGTATAGAAGAGTCTTGGTCAATTTGGGGTAAACGTATGACTTCTAGCGGGAATCGCACCAGTGTTTGACACCGCTCGGTCAAGCAAAGTTCCCTGGCTTGTAACTATTATGCCTGCTCACACACGACCTTGTTATATAATCTAGCCTGTGCAGTTGCGCAATAGAAAACCAAACCAGGGTCTAGTGTGAAAAAACATGAGGCTCTCTACCTTTTGGGACGCTTGGCGCCGCTGAGAACATTGATCTAGACTAAGTAAACTTAATAATGGAAGCATGCATGCCCGATCACACATTCCATACAAAGAAAAATAAATATTATATCGGACATGAACAAAGTTATAGGAACAGTTTTTGTACGTCATAATAACGACGCAAAAATTTACAAAGTGTTGAGATCAATGCGCATCCATTTTATGCAAACAACTCACTGGTAGGACAAGTTTATGTTATCTTTATTTCCAGACTGATGTATGAACATTTTCGGGGCAGACAGTCTGAACAGGTTGAGATTAAATGTAATCGGCCATGATTTTCGTTACAAAACCGAGAGAGAATCCAAGGAATTTTCTTTTCCAATATTTTAGACGATATCATAAGATTCTACACCAAAGACAAAAGAACCAAATCTAAATAAATATAAAATTTTCAAAGAATACAGTGTTTTCCAGTATTTCCAGCATTGTGCATGTGATTATACAAAGGGAGGTAACCCATTGAGACGTCTATGAGTTTGAGTATTGTGTCTTTCCATATTGTACTTACTTCCACTTGCCTGAACGAATCCAGTTTAATTTGCATTTATTATGTATTACTGTAAGTGCAAAATGTCTGTATTTCAATATATTTTGGTATGGACATACTAAACAACCTGATAGCTACAGGATTTCTGGTTTAATATTTTTAATATTGTACTGACATAAAGTCTTTGTGGAATTGTTTTACACTCCAATGAACTCTAATTTTGGTGTATTTCCATGAGTAAGTGGGTATATTATTATAAAAATAAATGTCAGAGCTTACAGCTATTGGCAGGTACTAAATGCAATTTGAGTTGTCTTGGTAACGATGTAACTTCATGCAGCTAGGAATTATTTCTGTTCAAGAGGAATCGACACGTGCAAACGGTGTATAGGGGCCCCGAGTGGCCGAGTGGTCTAAAGCGCTGTCCGTTACGGATCACTGCCATCTCACCTCTGTCTGCGTGTGTTCGAGTCTAGGATTCGGCTAATGTAGATATGTGAGAAAGCTTGCCAGTAACTTCTCGTGGGTCGGTGGTTCTTTCCGGTGATTTCCCGGTTTCTTCCTCCACCATTAATACTGGCCGCCATGAATAGCCTATCTTGTGCTGAAAAATGGCGTTAAACCCAACAACAACAACAACAACAACAAACGGTGTATAAATACTATTGAATACCAAAATAAGAGTCAGTTATAATTAAAACTGATACTAGGTACCATATCATTTAATTCTTTTTGTATATCTAGACAGATATATAGCTAAATATATTCATTCGGTCAGTCAGTTGGTCAGACAATTGTGAAAAAAACTTCATTCTTCAATTGTGATTAATTTGAATGAAATATTTGCCAGAAAATTTCTTGTGGAGAAGTTAAAACTTGACCATGGCCTTTAGGATTTCCAGAAAAAAGTTAACTCAATTTTCAGTTTCATAGATTCTACACAAATTGCATAATATAGAAAATATAAAATCTTCCCTGAAAAATTCCTCGATCATATAAAAACAATGCATTATCTTTTTAGAAAGAATATAACAACATGCACTTTCTTCTCTTTTCCTTTTACTTTTTTGTATAGCTATAGTTATTTATGTATGTGCTTCCTTATTCATTTACATAATTATTTAACTACTACTTTTTCACTGAACCAGTCTAATTTTAAATCTAAACAATAACTGTTGATTCTATTGTAGGCATAAACAGATGTAAGGATAGAAGTCTTTGCATTTGGAAGTCCGGTATTTTCGCGTCGATAAAGTATATTGTATTTCCTCCCCATATCACCATATCCACGAAAGAGCACAACACTTTATTTGCATAATGCTGTAAATTTAGTTTATGTTTTTGATGTGGCAAAATTGTCGGATTTATTGACTGCTCCAGCCTTTCTGTATCACACCATTTTATTATTATTATTATTATTATTATTATTATTATTATTATTATTATTATTATTATTATTATTATTATTATTATTATTATTATTATTATTATAAGTTGTAATAATGCACTACCCTTTGTATGTATTGAGTTGTGTCAAAAAACAACCAATGCTAGTCTGGTACTGAATTGTGATGATGGAGAAAGTTAATTTTATCACGCGCATCTGGATTAGTTATATAGCATAACGCGCTTCTAATTTGTTTTCTTAATCTTGCACATAGCGAATCAAGTAGTCAATGATTGAATAATTTATCAAATAGTCATTGATTAGATAATTTACCAGGTAGTTGCTGACGGGACAATTTCAGCTCATTTCAATAAATGTGTTACAGCAAAACAAAC